GGTCTCTCCCCCCCCCCCGCCTCCGAAGCGATACTCGTGGGGGGGAGTATTCCAGATGAAGAGTATTTATTACATCTGGTATTAATTCTTGAGAAACTAAATAAGATAAAATCGGTAACCATGTACTAGTAAGTTCATTGTGCTCATCATTATCTTTTGTTGGGTTCATTATGTCCGTTATTTTTTCCCCGCCTCCGAAGCGATACTCGTGGGGGGGAGTATTCCAGATGAAGAGTATTTATTACATCTGGTATTAATTCTTGAGAAACTAAATAAGATAAAATCGGTAACCATGTACTAGTAAGTTCATTGTGCTCATCATTATCTTTTGTTGGGTTCATTATGTCCGTTATTTTTTCCATTATATATAAATTCCACCGTTTCTTATACCATAAGCTTAAAGTTGATTGCACTTTGATGCAATTGGCCATCTTTTAACTTGCCCTTGATGTTGCAGATCCTCGACGAGTGGTTTGGGCGGACGGTGATCCGCTCCTGCGCCAAGCTGAGCTACGACCACGCCCAGAGCATGATCGAGAACCCTGGGAAAGCGTTTACGGCGGAGGAGCTCCCCCCCATGTCTCCCCAGCACTCGATCGGCAATGTCCACCGGGCGGTCCTGAACCTCCACCGGATTGCCAAGCAGTTGCGCAAGCAGCGCTTCGTCGAGGGCGCTCTCCGCTTGGACCAGGTTGGTCACCTCTTTGGGCGGGTATGGCTGGCTTCTGTGGGCCCTCCGTGATAATAATTTATTTATTTATTTTATTAGACTTCTATCCCGCCCTCCCCACATTGTAGGCTCACGGCGGGTACCAGCATTTCCTGCAGCTTTACAAATTAAGACATGTTATAATAATCCATTAGAGACAGTAAAACCATCAACATTAAATCGATAAAATCCAGCATTTAGAATAACAACGCGCCTTGACAGACAATAGTGTGGTCCCAATCCGGCTCCTGGGATCTGCGGTCACTGGAGGGCCGGCCAGGTCAAAGTGGATGCCTCTCGGCTGAGACAGCGCGAGTTCCCCCTGAGCAACCCGCCCTGTGAAAGCGCTGGCTGATGGCTCTCTCCGAGAGGCCATTTGTCAGATTGGCAAGCGGAGCCAAGTGCCGTCATCAATCTCCGGGAACATTTTCTGTCCTGGCGGGGAGGGTAAGAATGGGGGGGGGCAAGCTGTCTCTCTTTCCTTGCCTTGCCACTTCGTGACCTGCTCTGCTGTCTGCGCATGCTCAGAGCTCTCTTTTTAGACTCTCTCCCTGTTGCTCAGTTTTACCGAATTGGTCATGCTGAATTCCTAGCGTGTGCTGAAGGGGATCAGAGGCTGATTCTCCATCGGCTTTTCCCTCCCTACCCATGTTGGAAGAGAAATTCCCCTCTGCATTGCCGCTTTCGATTTCTTTGATCATCAGATCTTATGGTACCCTCCACACTCAATGCTGCTTTCGCTTTCTTTCATCATCAGATTTTATGGTACCCTCCACACTCCATGCTGGTTTCGGTTTCTTTGATCATCAGATCTTATGGTACCCTCCACACTCCATGCCGCTTTCGTTTTCTTTGATCATCAGATCTTATAATACCCCTCACACTCCATGCTACTTTGCTTTCTTTGATGATCAGATTTTATGGTACCTTCTGCATAGATTTATGGCCGTCCGGGGGTGACTTTGCAGTCAGTTGCCCTGATGTGGTTTTGAGTTGCACCTTTTCCTCCCAGCTGAGAAAATGTGGAGCAAATGCTAGATGTAGAATGGCCCAGAGAATGATTAAAATGTGGAATCTGCTGCCAGAGGATGCCATGATGGCCACAGGGATAACCAGCTTTCAAAGGGGATTAGATAAATTCATGGAGGATAAGTCTACCAGTGGCTACTAGCTATGGTGACTGAAGGGAACCTCCGTATTCAGAGGTACTAAGCCTCTGAAGCCCAGAGCCAGGAGGCAACATTAGGGGAAAGCCTTGCTTGGCCTCTCTGCCCTGTTGTTCACCCTCCAGAAGAACTGGTTGGCCACTGTGGGAGACAGGATGCCGGACTAGATGGACCACTGGCCTGATCCAGCAGGGCTCTTCTGATGTTCTTATGAAGGCCTTGGCCTCTGTGCCCTGTTGTTGGCCCTCCAGAGGAACTGGCTGGCCACCGTGTGAGACAGGATGCTGGACTAGATGGGCCACTGGTCTGATCCAGCAGGGCTCTTCTTGTGACTTCTTGCTTTTGCCCCTGGCTGTTTCTCAACAACGGGATGGTTTCCAGTGGCAAACGGATATCGCCTTCCCTTGTACTTTGCCTCTCAAATCAATGGCTTGGGTGGTTCTGTGGACACAGAATGACATCCTTTGGAAACTCTCTCCAGCAGTTGCCTCCTAATGCTTTGGTGGGCTGCCAGAAGTGACGACAGCATCAGGTGTGTGTGTGTGTGTGTGTGTGTGTGTGTGTGTGTGTGTGTGTGTGTGTGTGGGCGAGAGAGAGAGAGAGAGAGAGAGAGAGAGAGAGAGAGAGAGAGAGTTTTTGCATGAATCCATAAAGACTTGCACCCTTCCAAGATGTCCTGGGCCATCCTTTCTTGAGCATAAACACTATTCTTGCTTTGATCCCCTGTGATGGTAACGGTCTCCTCTTTTTCCTTCTTGTCCCTCTCTCTAGACCTCGTGTGTTTTTTCCCTTGTAAAGTCGCCTGGCCTGGGTGGCCCAGGCTGGCCCGATCTCATCAGAATCTCGGAAGCGAATTCAGAATGGGCCCCAGTTAGTATTTGCACGGGAGACCACCAAGGAGATCCAAAGTTAGTTACCCAGGGTTAGGCCGTGGCAAACCATCTTTTTAAGTCTCTTGCCTTGAAATCCCCATGAGGCGTCACCATAAGTCAGTTTGGTGTAGTGGTTAAGTGCGCGGACTCTAATCTGGGACAACCGGGTTCGATTCCCCACTCCTCCACTTGCACCTGACTGGATGACCTTGGGCAAGCCATAGCTCTGATAAGAGCTGTTCCTGAAAAAGAGCAGTTTCTGTCAGAGCTCTCTCAGCCCCACCAACCTCACAGGGTGTCTGTTGTGGGGAGGGGGGGAAGGGAAAGGAGTCTGTAAGCCGCTCTGAGACTCCTTTGGGTAGTGAAGGGCGGGGTATAAATCCAATCTCCTCCTCCTCTTCTTCTTCTTCTTTTTCTTCTTCTTCATCTGGATATTGGTTTGTAATATCGGGGGTCGAGAGAGCTCTTTCCGGTACTGTCCTTGAGAGAACAGCTCTGACA